GTCTAAGCTGATATCTTAGGCAACATATTCAGATAGCGTATGTTGTCTAAGCTGATATTTTAGGCAACATATTCAGATAGAGTATGTTGTCTAAGATGATATCTAAGACAACATATGTTTTTCACTAAGGCAACATAACCTTTTGTGTGTTGCCTAAGAAGTTCGCTTAGGCAACATATTCTGTTTGCATATGTTGCCTTGGTTCTTATGCAACATTGAGAAGGCAACACTGCTTAGGCAACACGGGTTTGTTGCCTAAGCCTTACGTAACATATAAACTCCTCTTGGGCAACATTTTGCATTTGTTGCCTAAGTGACATTTTGAGGTAGTGATATAAGCATTAATGGAACTAGCACAGAACCAGAAAGGGCTGTGGGAAGCCACTTGATATAGTAGCACAATGTGTAAAAAAAATATGGTAGGACAAGAAATAAGTCTGAAGATATAGATTTTTCGTCACCATTATCGGGGATGTGATGCTCATGGATGATGAGCCCATTACTTACCACGAGGTTGTGGAAAACACTCACTCCAAAGAAAGGCTAGATGTTATGAAGAATGATATATATGGACTCCATTTATGAAAACCAAGTTTAGAATTTGGTTGGGTGACCCAATGAGGTAAGACCTATAGGATGCAAATTGAGTTTTCAAGAAGAATGTCAACATGGATGGCGATATGATTACCAATAAAGTTTAATTGGTTTCGTTGTTCCAAAAAAATCGATGGACAAAGAAAACTCGTTGAACCGAACTCAACCAAACCGGATCATTTTTGATGGCTTAGATGGTCCGATGCGATTTGAAGAAAGAACAAACAAAAAGATGGTTCGATACGATTTGAAATGATTTGATGATAAAAAAAATCATTTCAGGTACATGCCATGCCATGTCTTTTAATTGGAAAACTTGTGGATCAAATGTTTGGGTGATGGATTATGGTGCAAATCAACAGATTTGTAATGAGCAGACCTCCTTTGATAATATAAGAAGAGTTTGCAAGGTAAGAGTAATTTTTCCTAACCAAGACACCATTGTGGTACAAAGTGTTGGCAATATTAGACTCACTGATCAACTTCTTCTCGCAGATGTATTGTTTGTTCCCTAGTTCAAATTTAATTTGATCTCTATCAGCGCACTGACTAAGGACAGAAATCTTACGATACAATTTTATCATAATTATGCCTTGATTCAGCAGATCAGTATCAAGAAGATGATTGGCAGGGGTAATGAGCAAGGTGAATTGTACCTTCTTGAAGAAGGAAAGTCAGCAAGGATCAACACTGTTTCTACCTATGTTTGGCATCAAAGATTTGACCATCCTTCAAAAATGTCGTAGAACACAGTAAGATGCAATAATATACCCACAAATATACAACTTTTCTTATTAAAGCATCCAACCTTGTACATACCCATATTATTCTTATAGTGGTGTACCCGCGCGATGCAGCAAGGGTGAATCACAATTATGAAACATTAGTTTAGTCTTGAAACATGAGTTTGTGTGGTTATTTTTCAAGTCAACTAATATATAAAGTTGAAAGTTAATATGGTGTATTAGCAAGATCGAATAGAAAAATAATTGCATACGTATTGGATTTCTAAACCCATATACTCATAAGTCATTACAAAACTTGAAATTCTTGACTGAACAAAGCTTTCGTTCACAGCTTTTTCATCTCCACCTCAGTATGTGCTCTCATATTGAGCATTAATCGTATCTTTTTTGTTGACCAAAGAGGTGACATCCCTAAACTTTTTCTGTGGTTTCTTCCTTGTGCATAAAAGTTGTGCCATTTCTTTCATCTGCGAGTGTTTTCCTACAAAAATGTATCGTATGTCCAAAATTTTGATAGTGGTAGCATTGAAGTGGTTTCCCTCGACCGTTTCCTTCATTATTCACACTTTGATCGTTGCGTTTTTCACTTGAGTTCCCTTGGTTACTGGATTGCAATTGGAATGCGTTTTCCAGTGGTTGTGCATCGAATTGTTTAATTCTTAGTTCGTGTGATTGTAATATCCCTCATAGATTTTCTAGAGAGAGTTCGGATATATCTTTCGATTCTTCGATTGCTACAACGATGTATTCGAATTTTCTTGTTAAGCTTCTCAGAATTTTCTCTACCACTCTTCGATCTTCGATTGTTTCGCCGTTCAAACGCATTTGATTCAGCAAAACTATCACTCGGTTATAATATTCTTCTACGCTTTCGGTTTCCTTCATCTTTATGTTACCGAATTCACATCTCAAGGTCTGCAATCTTACTATTTTCACTCGTTCTTCTCCACGATATGTCCTATAGAGGGTGTCCCATGCTTCCTTTGTTGTTCTTGAAGATGAAATACATTTGAATATATTTTCGTCCATTGCCTGAAATATAAAGAACAATGCCTTTCTATATTTTCTCCTGTTGTCTTTATCTTCGAGCATTTGTTGGTGCGTTGTTCCTTCTACTTGAACCAATTTTGTGTAGCCGTTTTCAACAATGTTCCAAAGTTCCTGCGATTCGTACAACACTCTCATTTGTATGTTTCAATGATGATAATTTCTCCTGTTAGTTTCGGTAATGTAAGTTTATATGTATTGTTGTTTACAGTGTTTGAAGCCATGGA